AATCAACTGGCAAGGCCGTTTCAGGTGCCTTGCTCCGCCCAGCGGAGACCGAGAACAAACCTGTTTATGTGCATTCTGTCAACAAGAGCCAAATGCAGATGGTGGACCTGTGCAAGGAGGCGCTGGGGACTGACGGTTGGACTGAGTCAAAGTTGAATATGGATCAAGTCTTTGCTGGAGCCTTGAAAGAGTTCCAGGCGGGTAATTACAGCATGAAGGTTTTTGGCGACATGATACGCTATGCGAACTCCAGGCCAGACTTCTCTCGCCCTTGGCCCAAAGACGACAACCCTATGCTTGGAGTCAAAGAGATGTCGGATGATGAGGTGAAAAGTCTCATTCAGTCGATTGCTGCAGAAAAGACTGGCTAGTGAAGGGATATGCTCTATGGATAAGAAATAGTCAATACAGAATGTCTCAATTCAGGTGAATCTCAGGCCACTTCATTCGAGTATGGTAGTTGTCGATGATTGAGGAAATGGATCAACTAGTATACCTCTGAGTGGTTGTTTCTACACGTACTAATTACAATGATTTAGAATTATGACTTGTAACATGGTGCGATTTGCGGAATTGTCATTTACCCTAAAAGCCTAAAGCTCCAAAGGAATCGATCTAAGATACTTGAGAAGAGGATTTAAATATGAAACATCTCCTTCCGGAACTGATCCCTTGTGATTGTAAGTTATGATCCAACTGGCATGTCTTTTATGGTGCCGTTGAAACAAGTGGAGCGGTTGGGAGCACCAAGATGCCTTATCCTTTGTGATAATATCTTGCTACTGAATAGCAGTCCTCGAGCACTTACTTGGATGTTTACTTAGAATAAGCTATTGCCAAGGATTCGTGACTTTGTCTCAAAGACCCTAATTCATCTTCGAACTTGAACAAAGATGGGCACAATTTACACCTCAAATGTTTGAAGCATGTGAAGCGGGCCTCTGAGGTGTATATCTGGAACAAGAAAGCTATAGTGTCACCAGCAAAGTATCGCTATCTTAATAGATCGGAATTTAAGTTCGATATCGTAGATATGAAGTCAACCCTTTCAAATCAAGCAGTGTATTTCGCGAGTACAATCGTAACGCATGACTAGTCTCCAAATTCACGACCAGTCAGCCCAACTGTCGTGTAGTCTCTTTTCTGTCATGACGTTTTTCGGTTACTACGCTGGGTGCACGTGTACGACCACTCCTACGACTCAACTATTCTCCCTCATCAACAAGTACTGATTCATGAAGCCTCGATGTAGAGGGACAATGAAACTTTCTGCCCGTATCTGAAGGATCAACGAGCAGAAATCACGCCTGAAACCGAGTTCGAGCTTTCAACGATGAACGTGGAGATAACTCTATCGGGCTGTGTGCTTGACATAAAGTCAAGACACGAGTCTACAGGTAGCGCAGGTTGAGTCAAATTCCCAAGTCTGAGTGGCAGCAACAGTGTGTATAGAGGCGAGAGCAGTTTAGCGTTCCTTTTACGTGATATGAGTTCAAGCGCGCTATCAGACCCAGCTCGAAAGGGTTGTCAAAAACTTGATCAAGCATTTGAAAGTAAGCCGACACAGAACCGGATCTTTCTTTACAGAATATTCTTGCAGAAAGTGAATCGATACCTTACTTGAAGGTCGAGGTATTCGAATCGGCCTTAAGTATCATCATTAGTCTCAGCTCTTCCTTAACGGTGGAGCCGCGGGTAGGTTACTTTAGTTAGTACTTGGTGAATGTGAATTCGATTTTGATCCTACACGTCGTCGACAAATGTATTTTCAGATCTTTGGGAAGTCTGTATGTCTCAAGCTAAGCAATATGTTGCAATGATCTGCAGACAAAGACGTCAGATTCGACCAAAGTAGTCTTCATGCTCTGGTCAGTGGGCAGAACCCATCCTGCGCTTCAAACAGCCAGATCTCAAAGGTGTTTCCGAACCCCGGAAAACTTGTTTGCCATCTGAACTCCACAAAGAACAGCTTCGAACCCACATACAGTCTTCGTCCGTGTGAACCCTCCAGAACTAATCACTTGTCCACGCTCCCCCGGCGACCCTAAAGCAACGGGGCAACCCATCAAGCTTGCCATGTCTTTGGGAACCAATAATTGGAGGCGAGCTGCTTCGACCTTCCTGAAAAGCATATTGAGTTTATGCAACCCCGCGGTGTAATTCAAGTTTACGGCGACCAGGCAGTGTACGGAGGTTACACGCAACTTACCGCCGCCGCCCCCTTCGACTTCTCCTCCAGAGAGCTGGAGCATAAAACGAGTCAGTAACAAGACCCTGACTGGCTCTGCGATCTTTTTGGTTTCACTGTCGACGCGAATCGGTAGCACCCACACAGCATATAAGCTTTCTTCGTGAGGTGGTTCCCAAACCTTATTGTGGCAGCACTCGGGGTCATGAACCTGCATATGGGAGTGCAGTCTGCAGCTGGCAGATGAATCGCGCTCGTCTTAAGTACTAGCGAGCATCCATTCTACCCTACGTAGTAAGACTGCGTACGCCATCGCATCTTCCATCCCGTCTTGATGACGACGCCGCCGCCGCTCGGTTGTGTTCCTCCCGCATAATGCCTTCCCAAAGGTACGAACTACCACTGGCGCCGTCGATTTACCGAGTTGGACTTCTCGACTGAGAGATGGCCGGGGAGACGGGCACCATCTCGGTCTCGCAGGTTCAGGCGATGGTTATGATTGCATTCGCCGCGACCGCGTATTACAATACGATCGAAACCTTCTTCTCCATATTCACGACGTTCAAGCGCCGACGAGGAAGATATTTCTGGAGCATGGTCGTGTCTAATGCCGGCATCAACGTCAACGTGATTGCCTTCATTTTGCGATACTTCGGCTACTACCAGAAAGCGATATTCGCATCGAGCATTATTATCCCGATCGCTTGGTACTCGATGGTCACAGGCCAGGCCATTGTACTTTGGTCGCGATTACACCTGGTTGTTCACAGCCAACGAAAGATCCGCTGGATTTTGACGATGATCATTTTCAACGCCGTCACGATGCATATTCCGGAGACGGTGATCTTCTTCCTCGCTAACACCAGCCCTAAGCAATACGTAATGCCCTTCAAGATATACGAAAAGGTCGAGCTTGTAGTCTTCACCATTCAGGAGACCATCATTGCATCTCTTTTTCTCTACGAAGGTTACAAAAGTCTCAAGCCGTTGAGCGCAATCAAACCAAAGGCTGTTACGAGCATGGTCCGCCACTTGGCTTCACTTTTCGCTGTTGTCTTTATACTAGACACAGGTCTGATTATCCTCGAATACAGCGACAAATTCGAGATCCAGACAATGTGCAAGCCATTCGTCTACAGCGTCAAGCTCAAAGTCGAATTCGTTGTACTCAACAAATTATTGGCGTTCACTCGAATGAGCGCCTGCGACTGTCGAGGCCCCGAGAGCATACCTTCTGCCATGTTAGCCGACAGCAACAACCGAACAAAAGTTGGAAACAATGGGGTGATGGTGGCACTTCCGGCCATCGAGCAGACCAATGGATCACTTTCTCCATTGTGGCAGACAGCTAGGAAAGACTACATCTTTGACGGAAGGATGTCTCCTATAAGCATAAGAAGCAGAAGGGGAACGAGGGACGGAGATTTGGATATCAGCCCAGAAGAAGACAAGGCAACAGTGTCGATACATGAGAAGCCATTGGTGACTGACAATGGATAATCATCGCAGAAGAGGAACAGAACAACAAAGCTCGCATTTTCATCAAGGACTTTCTGTCAAATCATAATGATCCTCAATCTCTTATTTTATGTCCAATGATTATGCCACAGGCGTTTCTGAGAGTGAATGTCTCGATGAAAGGCCAAGATTCTTCGACATGGTAGCATTATAGTGAGCAGCCCATGCCGATGGGTAGATTTGTACTACAAAGAACAGGATTTCCAGCACCCTCAGAAAGTCGTAACAATCCAACTCGTCTTAGCCAGTAGTCTTGAACGTCATTAAGAAGTGGGGGAAGCATTTTCTAGTCATGCACAGCTGTCCTTAACAATTCAACATGAGGCACGTTTCGTCCAATCCTCGGGCAGCCGAATAACGAAAAAAGGACGCTCCTATTACTCAATTACTCTAATTAGGACTGAAGGACCGAAGGACGTTTGGTCCCACATTCGCTAGCATCCACTGCGTACTATGAGAGAGAAATTATCACTTCCCGGACCCCTGAACCAAGAAGGGATGACTTCATGTTTCTAAACCAGCCACACATTGCACTCGACAGCATGCGTAGAAGAACTCAAAAACGGATAGTGACGAAGCGAATACCCGAGAACCTTCTGTATCAAGCCCGAGCCACGTCAAAGTTTACCAGCTGGGCACGGGAGGCAAGATCGGTGAAGTACTCAGGTCCGATACTCAGAGCGCCTCTGTCGACCATGAGCAATCTCACGATCAACAACCACCACATACGACCATACCCATTGGAAAATTCGGGATCCCGTCCGCTCTCCCATAGACAAACCAATGAGGGCCGGATTAGTAGTTGGGTCGGTGACGACCAGCGAATACCTGGTGTTGTATGTTTTTTGAAGTTTTCGTGGGTTCACGATGTTGATGGTCACAAAGCCAAGGGACCATAGGGCAAGCCTACGATGCGACCACTTCCAGTCTCTACGCAACAAGCCACATATTTTCTGAGTAGTCCGACGCTTTCAAACCAAGCGAGTTCATCGTAATCAATTTAGAATTCTCTTAGGCGACAGAATAGATCACAACAGGATGGGTTCCACATATTCTTTCGGATATGCAACTCCACATCACAGATAACTGACTAGACCAATTGTGCACTTGAGGAATGGTTTACAAACAGCAGGTTCATGATTGATGAAAATAGTTCATAGTTTAACCAAATAACTCAAAGCTGCTATTACATATTGCAACCATCCCATGAAACCAATGCTACCCAATGCCATTACCATCGTTAAGAAATCACGGCTGATTACTAGTAGTGTTGTACAAAAAAAGGGCCACCGGATTAGCTCGCAGCGCTGAAGGTCTCGCCTCCTGTCTCAAGATATTTCTTCTCCTGTGCAGTAGACTCTCTGCCCATGGCCATATTCCTATGTGGGTATCGTCCAAACTGCACAATGATGTCGCGATGTTTCGTCTCAAAGTCGCAATTCGTCTCCAGCAGGTCTCTAGCTGCCTCTTTCTGCACCGCCAACACGCCCCAGCACTTGCGCTGATCGTCGCTCCCGGCCTCCCCGTCTTCAGCCATCAGCTCCTCGAAATCGTCCTTCATCTGCTGATACTGCGCCACAGCAAAGTCGTGCAGCGCCAGATCCTCGGAGTGCATGAAGGGCAGGTAGAACCACATGCGGTAGGCCACGCGGTACTTGATCCTGTTGTGGGTCGCGGCGCCGGCGTTGATGGCGTGGCGTGCGATTTCGCGCGCAATAGGGTCAAAAAACTTGAAGACTGTCGATGACTCTGTGCCCCGGTAGATGTTTCGCGGGACTTGGTCTAGGAGGAGGACCAAACCTAGCCACTGCAAAGGTGTGAATGGCCTCACAATTGTGAGAATGTCTCGAGTTGTGATCTTGGCTGATTTCATGGCCTCCAAGACAGGGCGGAACTTCTTCCTGTAGGTGCGCATTAGCAGAATCACCTTCGATGCGACCAATGGAACAGCATACACGCAAGCCTCATCAAAGTCAACGTCGGAGTAGAACCATCGGCCCATCTGGCTCCTCTGGGGTAAGACGTAGGCATCGTCGGTCTTGAGGTGCTTAAACCAGAATCGACGGAGCTTCTCAAGCAGATCAGGCGTGAGAGTTTCCTTGAGCCGCGCCTTTGCGTGCGTCTTGCACGAGTTTGATCGGGGCAATCCCCCCATGGACAACATCGGCATCATCTTGTCGTCAGAGTCGCGATAATAGCCAGAAGTATGGAAACTGCGTCTGCTTATGAACGACGTCGTCGGCGACGAGTCTGACTGATGGCATGTCTAGGGAAGGCTGTCACCACGACTCCTCACCGCCTGCGACGTCGAGTTGTGCCACTTCTGCTGCTCCCACGGCTTCATCCGCAGCAGACGGCGGTCGACGCACCCCGCATTTCGAAGGGTGCGACTTATGATCTGATGAGGAAGCATGACAGCCACCTCTCACTTACAAGACGACAAAGGGTGACCAATGGGCGGAGGGTGGTGCCACCGGAGTTTGCACTGACGTCGTCTCGTCTGGTGTCTTTGCTGCCCTTTCGTTTCTGGGGGAGGTCTGGTCAGAAAGGGGGAAAGTCTGGACGCGTCGAAATGCGGGGTTTGTGCAGGCCGAGCGCCCCGTTGTGCAAGTCAAGGGCCCCTCGCTTGCCATCCGCTAATGCAAAGAAGAGCGAGCTGGGTGTCCTGGCGCTGTCGTCGCTGCTTTGCTCATGTTAGCGGCTGGATGGTGGCACAGGATCGATTGGTTGAGGAAGTGGTTTGGGGGCAGCACTTGATCCCACCAAGCATCCTACTACGTGGAAATCGGCATTATGGCAGAGGGGATCCAAGGCGTTGGACGACTTGGAGGCTTGGTCGAGAACGGCCACACGTTGGAATGTGGCGTAGATCAGGGATCGGCAGAGGCCACACAAACCCGGTTCATCATGGCGTACCTAGGGCTCCGTTCGCTCTGGACCCTCAAGAGATGAGTGTGGACAACTTAGGAGCTATATGGTGAGGGACAACTCAGAGTTAGAACTGACGTCAGATGGGACTGCGCGCCTAGGAAAGTATGAGGGAGCAAGAGAGATTTACACAGTACGTACGCTGCGGCGTCTATCTCAAACGTACAGATCCGGCGGCAAAAGCAGTGCAACATATCTCATTAAAGTACCGGCATGACTCCCGTGGTTGCTTCGCGGGCTAGAATGAATGTGGCCCGGAATCGAGTTTCGAGATTATTACAAGGTTGAACAAAAGCTTGGGTCCGGCTGCACAAGAAAATCCGGTACTATCATAAGAGACCATGTTAAGCCGGCCGAGCAGACCTCGGCGTTCATGCTCTTCCCCACACTGACACCATGGAAGCTAACTGTTCGCAAGGTTCGAGAATGCAGTGAATCTGGTACGCTAAGATTCGCAGCCTCCGTTCCTCTTCTCCGGACAGCACTAGATGATTTCAGCCGACGGGTAAAGAGATCTATTCCCACCTCGAGATCAGCAGTCACGCGGAATGCCCCCAAGTGCCGCTGAATCGTTCACGGGCCGCTGCTAGTGCCACCATCCCGAACCTTAACAGCTTGTTTTAACAATGATGCTCGAGATCCCGTCCGACTTTAAGATGGGTTTCTGGGATCATCTCAGCTGTCATTTGTTCAGGATAAATACCATCCTGGAGACCGGCATGGCCGGCTAAACAAGCGGTCATGTGTAATAGGGGGACGGACGAGCTGCCTCTTTGCCTCTAAGACTCTTTTCCCGAGAAAATAAAAGAGGAACCGCTTTCTCGGCCGCAGTGCCGGAGCATGCCCCTTGCGTAAATTGCGGAGAGCGTAGCAAGGATCATGCAACATCGGCCCCGGCTTGGTTCATTTACTCCCGACGATGCGGCCACTCAATCCGACTCCTGACCTAAACTCGACACGTCCATTGGCGGAACCCCACAGTTCCTCATCGGTCCATCACGGCCGGCCGCTCGTCGACCGTTTGGGAAAGATTTCCCAGGGGTTGGTGATGAACCAGTGAACCACACATGGGCTCTTGTCACCCCAAAACCGAAAAGCTCGTAAACTTCGCGCAACTCTGCTAAGAAAGCAACTTCTTGAAGTTCCCACCTGGTACCAAGGATGTTACCCACGTGGGTCGACGTTAGTTTATTCTGGGCAAGGCGGTCCCCTCGAGAAAACAACCCCCAGTTCCCATGCAACCGATGCCCAAATACCCATAGGAAACGGCACTTGAATCTCCGTTTTCCCCTGTCATCCCATCATCGGTTCCTGCTCTGGGCCCAGAGAAACGATCGAGAAAGAATTAGATTGAAAAGGACGGGGTTCGTCCTCGCCGTTCCTACGATGCTCTCCTTCCCTCTTCTCCCAGCCTCACCAGCCTCTCTGTTCATACTCCGACCGCTACATTCGTTCTCTTGACCTTTTTTGTACATATCAAAAACCAACCTGTCAATATGGTTTCATTCACTTCTCTCTTCACGGCCTCTTTGGCCGTCGTCGGCGCCCTCGCCGCCCCCGCCACCGACAAGCCCATGACCACCGACCTCATCAAGCGCGCTTCGACCCCCTCCTCCCAGGGAACCAGCAACGGCTACTTCTACAGCTTCTGGACCGATGGCGCTTCCCCCGTCACCTACACCAACGGCGCCGCTGGCGCTTACAGCATCCAGTGGCAGTCTGGCGGCAACTTTGTTGGTGGAAAGGGCTGGAAGACTGGTGGTGCCAAGAGCATCAAGTACTCCGGCACTTGGTCCCCCGTTAACAACGGCAACAGCTACCTGACCGTCTACGGATGGACCAGAAACCCTGTAAGTAGCTTCCATCACCACATGATTGCATATGAGCAAACTCGCTGACCCAATCCTTCACAGCTCATCGAGTACTACATCGTCGAGAACCACGGCGAGTACAACCCTGGTAGCGCTGGCACCCTCAAGGGCCAGGTCACCTCCGACGGTTCCGTCTACAAGCTGTACGAGAGCACCCGTACCAACGCCCCGTCCATCGACGGCACCCAGACCTTTAAGCAGTTCTGGGCCATCCGCGAGAGCAAGCGCGTCGGCGGCACCGTCACCACCCAGAACTTCTTCAACGCCTGGAAGTCCGCCGGCATGACCCTCGGTACCTCCTTTGACTACATGATCGTCGCCACCGAGGGCTACCAGTCCGCCGGCTCGGCCAGCATCAAGGTCGAGACCGCTGCTTAAATGCAGAACACTTTCGAACCGTCGTGTGTTTTTGGTGTGGGCGATAGTGAGGGGGGCTAAAGGGCCTGGGGATGATCAAAGCGTGCATTGTCGCGCACGTGGGAATTTCAGGGGTTGTCGGACGCACAGCGATCACGATGGAAATTAAGATGGCCTTCAGGCGGAGGGCGGGCCTTGCGGCTGTTTAAAAAGGCAGAATTTCTTCTACTTGATCACTCCAGATCCAAGTGCTGTCTACAATATGAATCATCTATTTCCCATCAATGAGCGTTCATGCTGTTTCAATCCTCATATTCTGTAAAATATGGGTAGTAATTCAGGCGGTTGAAAATTTGGGATAGGGGAGTTAATTCGGCCTCCCTTTCAGTCCTCGTGCCCGAGCACTATAGAAAACAAATATATTGAATCCACTCAAGAAGCCTAATTTTGTCGAACACGACATGCCCCCCGGGCGAGTCGCCAAATTCAGTCGATGGGAACTGAGTGCACTAGACCTTATTTCAGGTCCACCGCATGGGCAGAAGATCACATTTAGATGTCGGATAACTTGTGCAACACCAAACTTAGACTGCACTCAACCAAGTGGCCCTCGCATCGAATGTCATGACATCAATTCTGCCTGTCGTCAGCCTGTCAGTGGCCGCCGATACGTGTTTACCTGCTAAGGTACCGATCGCGATGTAATTGCAGGTTCTCTTGCGACACATGCCAGATATCCATTGTCGATTTGAAAGTACGACTGAGCCCACCCACTACATCGCTCTCCTGGCCTCGCATAAGGTAGGTAAGTAGCGAGATTTAGAATTGAAAGAGAGGGGAAATTGCGGCTGGGCATTGTGAGAGACGCAGAACGTCATAGCACATTGAGCAAGAGCTTCATATGGGCAATGTTCCTTTTAATTAGCTAGAATGCTCGAGTCCTTGACGCACCTACTAGTTGATTACTACCTGTCTGGTCGAGCATTTGTGGCTGTCAGGTAGAGCAGTCCATTGTCAAAAATCATACCGGGCATGATGAAAGCTAAGTATGGAGGACATAGAGGATCATTTATGGCAGATATCGGTATCCCACAGCTCCTACCTAACTTGAGGACGTCCCCGATCTCGGACTAAGACCTAACTTCCTTGTGGAAACGGTCGTTGTACTCGTCGGCGATACGCCACCATCACACGATATTATCATCTAAATAAGTGCTTTCCGGTTCCGAGCTGTGCGTTTCTCTTATCTCTGTGGGGGTTCATTGACGCGTTTTGCTTCGCCGGAATCATTCCGATGGCAACCTACCCCTAGGGTTATCTTATCTCAATGTGAATTGACACCGATCCTCGACACATGGAGGCTAGGGAAAAGTTAATGTTGGTCACCAAGCTTAGGTATCTAGGGGAGGCAAACGATAGCAGTGGATCACGTATGTAACTTTTTGGGGTTGCACCAGAGATAGTAGCTCATAACACCATGGCGTGTTTGAAAGATTGAAGCATGACTTCTTTGAGATACAGATTCGGCCGATAAGTTGAATGGTTGCCACATGTGACGGTCTATTTATGGCACCTTGACCATCGCATCACGGTTGCACAATGTCCTTCAAGTGGTATTATGAATATTTTGAGAATTGCAGGCCATGAGGACAGTAATGATGGTGTCGCCGGTTAAGTCACCAAATGAAAACCTCAATGCTACATCTAGATTCAGGAATGACAGTAGTCTAGTACGGGCCTCCATCACTTTGGTAGTCTTTTGTAGTAATTCAATTCTCCGGTGACAAATTTAAATCTTAGGAAACGTGCGAAGAAAGTAGAAGACTTGGAGAAATACAGACACTCTTAAGAAGTAGTCAAAATCATAGACCAGGTAGGTTCAGCATATCCAAGACATTCAATTCAGTGCACACTCACAAGGTCCAGAAATGTAGTAATCTTGAGATGAAATTGTAACTAATGATTCTGATATCATGGGTCTCATGCTCTATCTAAAAACAGCGCTTTTTCATAAAAT